TTGAAAATGTTCAGATAAAAAAGTTACATTGTTGCTAATGTGTACCATGTAGTTACACATCTAGAATGCTTGCCTCTGAACATATACAGACTTTATTTTTCTTGTCATTATTTCCTAAACAACAGTGTAACAATTATTTGTGTGGCATTTACATTGTGTTAGGCATTATAAGTAATCTAGAGATGATTTAATGTATACAGGAGGATGTGCATAGGTTATATGCAAATACTATACCATTTTCTATAAGGGACTGGAGCATGTGGGGGTGGTTCTGCAACCAATCTCCCACAGATACCAAAAGGCAAGCATAACCAAAAAGTAGAAAAAATCCACATGTCTATCAACAGATGAACAGATAGATAAAATGTGGTATATCCTTTTAACAAAATATTATTCGGCAATAAAAAAGAACAGAGTGCTGATACATGTTACACAGCCTCAAAAAAAAAACTGTGCTAAGAAGCCCGTCACAAAATAAACATATTATAAGTTACATTATGTAAACTGTCCACAATAGTTAAACTCAGAGACAGAAAGTCGGTTAGTTATTGCCAGAGGCTGAGAGAAAGGCAAGGAATGCTAATGGGTACAGGATTTCTTTGTGGGGTGATGAAAATGCTCTCGAAGTAGGTAATGGTGATGGTGGACACACAGTGAGTATACCATAAACCAGGGATTGTACAAGAAGAGATAATCTTAGTGTAAGTGAATTACATCTCAAGAAAGCTAGGTTTATTTAAAGACACTTTTTTTTAATGTCAGTCATGGGGATGTGATGTACAGCATGATAAGTATACTTAATAGTACTGCATTATATATAAGGTAGTTAAGAATATATCTTAAAAGTTCTCAACACAGGAAAAAAATATGTAACTATGTGTGGTGACGTTTACTAGACTTACTGTGGTGACCTTTTTGTAATATATACAAATACCAAATTATTATGCTGTACACCTGAAACTAATGTTATCTTCAATTATATCTCAATTTGAAAAATAACATCCAAAGAAACTACAAAAATGCCACACTGAGACCATAAAGCACCTAATTTTCAATACTATTCAGATACAATCTCAACTCCCACAGTCTTGTCATCCTATACATTCATACTGTGTCAGTGAACAAAAAAGAAACTAGTAAAATGAAATCAACTATTGAAATTTTTAAAAACATGAAAAAAAACAACAGCCCCTGAACTATCAAATCACTTTCACTCAAACAATCCTATTTTAGCCTTGACTCTGAACTAAACATAAGTCTCAATTTCAAAATATCACACACAGAGGACACATACCCAGAGGTTTGAGCAAATTTCCAACTGTTCTGAATAAACAGCAATTCAGATTTGCTTTGATGACAATGTAAATATTTACCTGCCTCAAAGAAAACAAAATCCTTATAAGCCTAGTGTCCCCAAATGATGGAGAGAAAGAACCATGCTTTTTTATTATTATTATTATTATTCAGAATTTTGTTTCAAAATTAGTGTTAACCTAGCTAGGGTATTCATAGTTGATGGCTTATACTAAGCAATGCATGCCCTGCTTTGCCTACAACCTCTACTATAAACAAGGCATTACAAACAGTCACAAAAGTTACCTTTGTAACTTTGTCTCAAAATGTCTCGAGGACTATTTTTGGAAACTCCCTGAGTCCTTTAGTCTTGCTACAAACATTGACTGACCATCCACCGCGTGCCAGGCACTGCCCCGGGTACCAGGATGCCACGGTGACCCATCAACAGAACGGGTCTCTCTGGCCACAGGAAGACAGCGCTTGTCAAATGAGCCTGATGATGACACTTGTTTAAAAGTCAAAATCGGCCCTGGCTGGTTCGGCTCAGTGGATGGATACCTGTGGACTGAAGGGTCCCGGGTTCGATTCCGGTCAGGGGCACATGCCTGGGTTGGGGGCTCGATCCCCAGTAGGGGTTTTGCAGGAGGCAGCCGATCCATGATTCTCATCATCGATGTTTCTCTCCCTCTCTCTTCCTCTCTGAAATCAATTTTTTTTTTAAAAAAGTCAAAATCTGCTCATATGCTTTGGAGAGTCCGCGGGCCCGGGGTGAGTCGCGACGCCCGTATGTTCATCACGAGCCCCTCTCTCCCCCTCGCCCCTGCGGTTCTGAGAACCCCAGGCTCAGGAACACCCCACCCCATCCAGCAAGATGCCACACCTCCAAAGTCCATTTCGCTCAGCATCCCTCACCCGAACCGACATCCAAAACACACCGCGAAGCCGGGGAGGAAGGGAAGCATCCCCGGGTCACTTTGTACCGAGCCACCGACAGACTTGCTTCCTCCCTGGGACGGACAGCTCACTCCCGGAGCTCCCACCCGGGCCGGGCTGCACCTGAGCCTCCCGCGGCTGCGCGGACACCTGTCTTGTCT